GGATCCGCGCGGATATATGACGTCAGGATGGCGCAATTTGTTCTAAAAATAGAAAAATTGTCCCATATCATAGGTGCGCGCGGATCCCAAGACTTACAATCTCCGTCCCCGATTATGGCTTCTGGCGTAAATTTATATTAGGATAATTTTCATTCAGGGTTAAAAAAACTAAAGTATCACAAAACATGATTCCCGGCCACGGTTTTATTTGCATTCAAAAGTTGGAACTTTTTAAATCTGGGCCCTGGTTTCTTTACTGGAAATGAATTCTACGAATCGAGAGAATATTTTTTTTAACTTTTAGAAAGAAATAGGCCCTTTGCAGCTAAGCCATCATGGAACGTACTTTTCATAAAATTATGGGCTATAACTTAACGAACGTCAAAATGGAAAAAGCATGTCACAAATATCAAAATGGCCAAGTTTGAGGCCCCTGGCATTAAACAATGAGATTTTTTGACGGTCTGAATTTTTCAAAAAATAAGAAAATTTGTATGGAAAAAGTTATTGGAGAGCNCCCCCCCCCCCCCCCCAGAATGAGAATTTATGACTGTCTGAATTTTTAAAAGAATAAGAAGATTTGTATGATAAAAGTACGCTACTGGAGAGGAAAGCCTTGCTCTCCAGCAACATTTTCCATACAGATCCTTTAAATTTTCTGAAAATTCAAACTGTCGTAGAAACTTACTCTTTCATTCCAGGGGCCTCAAACTTGGCCAACTGGCTATTTGCGAAGCGCTTTTTCCATTTCTGGCATTCATTAACTCATAGCCCACAATGTAAAAATTTTCCAGGAAAAATTTGGTCACGTGACCCCTGATGCAAGGGAGACCTTTGCGGCCTAGGCAACCGGGCAACACCGGAGAATTGGTGACTATTCTGAGCCCGCAATCATAGAAGGCTACGACGAGGACTAGAAACTACTGTCGAAAATCGAAAGAGGTTCGATCGTGGGCTGATGAAATTTCCTGAATTTAGTTATTGATTTTTACAAACTTGTTCGACGATATGCCAACTGTAGATATCAAGAGAGACCTCTTATTCAAGGCTATTGGAAAGGAGTACAGTAAGTTAGCTTATTATCCTTTTAAGCTTAGCACACGTGCTACAACCTTGAAAGATTCCGGTGAACCAACAAGACTTGTTATTTGTTATTCAGCTGATGAAGAGTTTGAAGAACTGTGCTTTGACTTTGGCCTCGAATTGGATGAAGTGGTAAGAGATTTGCTGAGGGAGTAATCATTTATTTCTGACTGTGATATTTCATGCTGTTGTGTGTACCGGAGTAGTCTGGCTTCCGGGATTCTCAATTTGTCGCCAATATAGTTTATAATATAGTACACTGTCAATCGAAACGTACCTACCAATTTGGTTGCTGGGAATGTTATACAAGTTCGATAAAAATATTGTTAACTTTGTTTTGGGTTTCAAAGTACAGTGGAACCCCGCTAATCCAGCCACCAATAGGCCACAAAAATCTGCCCTTGTTTAACAAGTTTGGATAAGGAAATGACTGACTGAGGTTTTGTTCCGGCCAGAATAAAGTGGATCTAATAGCAAGATGACCATATTGTTGGGGTGGCCAAAAGGCAGGTTCCACTTTACTTATTTAAAGAACCCCATCTGTGGTAAAATGAAAACACCTAAAGCAAACTACAAAACTAGTCAAGGCTTGGGAATGCTATGTGTATTTATGTATTCCTCCGAAAGGTATATACAATAAAACCTACAAAAAGAGTCACTTGTAGTGAGTAAGTGATTCTAGGAAGGTAGCTCCTTATAATACAAATGCCGTAAATGCTATGCAGATAATTATGTGCTACAATGGGGGTACCTTTTTTTTGGAAAGGGTATCCATATTTAGGTAAGGTTGTGACTAGGGAATAGGATATCACATATTTTGGTCTGAATTGAGATCCTTAAGGGATCCAAGAAGTGGGCATCAAACCCAGCAAAAGAAATTTGAAGGAATACCCTCTCCCCAACCTCTGAAGGCATGCAGTATCTATCAGGGATGTATCTAGGAAGCTGGCTACACGCTTATCTCACCAGCTGATAGAGGGGTTACCACTGGTGGAATTTTTACTACAAAACAAAGACGTTAAAAGTTGCACAGACTGGAAAAGCTAGCTGAGAAGCCTGCTTGGTTTCTTTTTAGCTAGATTCCCGACCTACTCCTGGAGTAAGAAAAAGTATGGATACAACTGGATGCACAAATGCTACGTTTATGGCTTCCAATACATAGACTCCTATATCTGTGTGACTGACGAACATCAGACAGCAACTGTGTTGTGTGTATTCTGACAGGTCCCTGGAGAAGAAGAAGGCAAAGAAGATGAAGGAGTTATTTATAAAATTGAAATTCCAGCTAACAGGTATACCTGACTTACATGTACATGTACATGTATTATGGGGGACATATAATTCAAGAAAAACCAGGGAAATATTGTGACTAGTTTGGAATTACAATCTGTCAATCAGGTTATAAATCACTGGCCCTTTGATGCGGTACAATAGTTTTGTTAAAACCTAATTTACCTTTTGGGTTACAAGACAGTTTGTGAGGATTAATTCTAATTGCATTATCATTGCAAATTAATGCTTGCCTTATATGCTTTAGTTAAGTTTCCTGTTGTTGTTTTTGTTGTCTTGCAATCTGTAATTTTATCTTTTTAACATGTCTGCCATTATCTAGTCTTAGATTAGTTATGATTGGCAATGCACTGTACAAATATGTCTAATGTAGTTCCTGTATTAATAACTCGGCTGGCAATTTGTTTCTCAGCTCGCTACCTTAATATCTTAACACAGGTACGACCTTCTGTGTTTGGAGGGGATTTCAAGAGGAATTCAAGTTTTTCTTGGAAAGTAGGTTTACCATACATGTGTGCATGTCCTCAAATAGGATGTCATTGTTGCACCATAATTTTAGGATATTTTTCAACTGTCTCATAATCAATGCATTTTTATAGTAAGACATTTCAATGACAAGTAGAGGTTAAGGTGAATTTCCTTGTCATAACAACTTGCCCAAGAATCTGTTCCTACTCTTTGACCTACTGTTCTCTGTTTCAGTCAGGATGTTGCTCTTATGATGAACAATGGCTATTGTTATCAGTGAGTTAATCTCTGTATATTTCTTGTGTTTTGTTTTAGACTGAAAACTCCTAGATATAAATCTGTTAAGCCTCATGGGCCAATGCAAAGATTAAAGATTTCAAAAAATGTAAGTATTCCATTGGATAAAGTTCTGTTCTCTTAGCTTACTTCATTACTTTGATGTTTGTGATAATGTTGTAAGTTGCTGCAATTTTTTGCACTTTGCCATATTATAGTATAATAATGGTTTTCCCTTTTTCATTAGACTGCCCTTGTCAGACCTCACTGTGTGGCAGCCCTTTTAAGAAATATTACATTCACTCAGGTAAAGTTTATTCACTTGGCTTTTAAACATAAACTACTTTACATGGTACGAATCTTAAAGATTAATTAAATGTTCAAATATCTTTAACTATCTCTTTCTCCAGGATAGTTATAACAGCTTCATTGATCTTCAAGATAAACTCCATCACAACCTGTGCCGACGAAGGAGTCTTGTTGCCATAGGAACACATGATTTTGACACTCTTCAAGGACCATTTTTGTTTGATGCTCTTCCCCCACAGGACATCAAATTTGTAGCTCTTAATCAAGTGAGACTTGAGAATTGATTTTGGTAGACAATATAAGTATAATCTGTTCACAAAGATACTCTAGACACTTAAATGGTTTGCTCAATGATATAATGCACTACTGAACAGGATGAAGAAAATTTAGTGTTTTGGGGACTTTGCTAAGAGCCAGTTGCCGCCCTTTTTCACTGGCTGAAGAGAGCTTATCACTAACTGAAATTCACTAGGAAACAGGCTTTTATCCAGGATTTCAAAAGTGGGTGTCCACAAATTGTAATGTGGTCGATGGCTCCGTCATCCAGGGGAGGAGAGGGGGCATGGACATGCAAGTGAAGTGAAGGATAGAATCTGCTAGCCCTGGGCTGTCATACATGACTTTCTTTACACGCTGCTCTACTTGTAAAATTCAATGGCCCACAAACAAAGACTTTGAAGGTGTGAAGACCAACTTAGCCAGTTAAGTTTTTCCTTAGCCTCATGGTGATTCAACCATGATCTGCCAATAAGAAGTTGGCTGAAAGGATTTGATGTGAGAACTAACAAAAAAAATTATCAAATTAATGGCTGGGCTGGCTTATAATTGTGGATTGATGACTGAAGGTAATTATTTAAGTTCAACTTTTTTTGCTTTCAGACAAAAGAATACACAGCCGTTGAACTGATGGATGTGTACAAAGTAAGAAAGTTTGCTGTTCCTTCATATTGATTACTACCAGTGATGTCAGATACATGTTACATGATCCTCTTCTTTGAGCTACTGGCTTGTAGAATTTGCTAGGGCTGTGGATATGTGAATTCTGAATATTTACTGAGTGTGGGAAATTTAAAGAAGTCTTGAGGGGTGATCCAAATTTTATTTCTCCTCACCCCATCAAAACATATTTAAAATGCCAGTAGGTAATGAGAACTAAAGAAGTCCTCAGTGGGGATATTTTCTCTTGAGTTAACATGGAAAGACATGGTAAGAATCTTAATTTATTGATTCATATTTGTGGTTATAACATGAAAATAGATGCAGATGACCTGGGTTGTATGACAATCAGTGATGAGAATGGAGGATCTAAGAATTATTTGCAATGTTCACTTTGTTTTTTTGTTTTTTTTTCTTCACAAAGGGAGAAAGCCATTTAAAACAGTACCTGCCAATCATTCGAGACAAACCAGTTTATCCAGTTATTTTTGATGCCAATGGTGTTGTTCTCTCAATGCCTCCAATTATCAATGGTAAGTCTATCATTACACATTTTGACATTGCATCAAAAATTGAATGTTAGAGTGCTATGCCTATAAATTTGCAGAGCAAACTGCTATTACATGTAGCACAGTGGAAATGCTCCTTACAGACTCGGCTATAATACAGACAACTCTATATTACAGTCAGTTCACTCTTCCATAATATTGATACTGAACTCTTCCCCTTAAGTGTCAGTATTAAAGAGGCTCAACTGAACTATGGGCTGAATATAAATATGTGAAATCTAGTCAATGGTTTAAACCAATAATGTTGAATTGTAGTTCATCTTATGTGATTCTTAAAGTCAAGATAGTCCTGAAAAGACTGTTTCTGAGGACTGATATTCTTACTGTACCATCCTAGTTGGACATAATACTTGGTGTCTTTGAAAATATCAACTTTATAAATATTAACTCACAATCTGTGAATTTGCTAACAGCCTCCTATTACTTATTGATGAAAGGCCCTTTATATAATATTGTTATTACACTATATCAGTAGCAAATTACAAAGATATCTCAAATTACGGTATATCCATATTCTGTATCATCTCTGAACTTTTGCTTGTAGGTGACCATTCCAAAATAACTCTAAGCACAAAAAATGTCTTCATAGAAAGCACAGCTACTGATTTGCACAAGGTAAGTAATAGCATACATGAATGAGTGTGTCCATGTTTACTGTAAGTTAGGAATAACTTTTAAAGCAATGATAAATTACTATATAAGTTATTTAAAGAGTTTGAGAATTGTACATTGTACATCATTCTATACTGTTTTTGTTTTATAGCATTCATTAGCTAAGTATTGTTTGTCTTTCTTGAAAGACTGCTAATCCATTGCTCTCTGTTTGAATCATTTGCATTAGTGAACAATGTACATCATGCATTGCATGCATCTTGTCCTAGTACAACACATCTGCAGTAATGGTTGTGTTCCATTTACTGTAGATTTTTTACTTTTAAAAATCTTAAATAGGCGATTTTTCTGTTTCCAGTTTGTATATATGACCAGTCAGAAGTATAAATGGATATACAGTACATGTACATCATATAAATTATGGTCTTGGGGAGTGGTACTATCCAGGAGAAAAAAAATCTCCTAATTTGATTTACTAATATACTTTTAATTATTATATTTTGTTAGGCCAAAATTGTCCTTGACACCCTGGTGACAATGTTCAGTGTTTATTGTGTTGAACCATTTGTGTAAGTAGTGATTGTCTTGAACAAGTGTTGAGTGTGAATTGATGATGTAACTTCAAGCCTAGAAAAGAAGTCAGTCATGTAAGGGGATCACACAACTAACACTTGAGAAGCAGGGAAGGCCCAGTGGTGAGAGTGCTCGCCTCCCACCAATGTGGCCTGGGTTCAATTCCAGCCTGGTGCTAGCCTGCAGAGCAGGCGAGATTTTTTCGAGCGAGCGCTCACATCGTAAAAAGTTTAGCCACCATCTTGAATTTTTCATGCAGCGGAAGACTGGGGAGAGAAAGAAAGTTTTACCAAGGGGGTGAATGATAGGCAAGAACATGGCGGTCTAAAAGGCAGTCGCAAGGTTGTAACGTTAACTCCCCCCAATAAGACGCCTGCACTGCAGGCTAGCCTGGTGCCATATGTGTGTTGAGTTTATGGTTGGTTCTAACCTTCCTCTAAAGGTTTTTCTCTGAGAACTCTAGTTTTCCTCCCTCCACAAAAACCAGCATCTCCAAATTCCAATTCGACCAGGATAGAGGATCCGCATGAAAACCAGCTAAGGATGATGTGGCTTCCTCTCTAAATGTTATTTATTTATCTACACATAACACCTAAACTTTTGTCTAGGGTGGAGTCAGTTGAAGTGGAACAGCCAGATGGTTCAGTTCTTGTTTATCCGGTATGTTACATACACATGTTGCATATTCAGTTAATCATGAATAATGAAATAAAGTTTACACAACATACATGGGTAGACAAATATTTCAAGGCCCATCTCAATAACCTCAAATTTATTGGGTTGAAACAATGCCTTGCTAAATCAAGGTGCACATGATATTACTACAATGTAACAGTAGATTTTCAGTTCTGAACCATTGTATACTAATGTAAAGCCTTTCACAGTGGCTTTATTGTGTATCATCTGCCTTCAACAAAGTCCAAAAATGTTACTTGGAATATCAGGGGACAGGACTTGGAACAGGACTTTCTTTGTACTTTGTGCATATACAAAACATGCAGTGGATATAATTGAGTGTAGCTGTGGTGTTTTTATTGGCCATACAGTTTCTATGAATTGTCTTTGTTTCTATTTTTTTTTCCCCCTTTTCTCAAAAGGAGCTAAAATATCGGCATGAAGTGGTCAGTGTGGAGCAAATTAACAAGAAGATTGGAATCCAGTAAGCAGTCCTGTTTCTTTCAGTAATTCAGGAAGTTGCTCAGCTGTGAGAATTTTGCATCCAGGTTGTACTGTATGTTAATGAATTCTTGTTCTTCAATGGCAGAGAATCTCCTGAGCGAGTGGCTGATTTGTTGACTCGAATGTGCCTTCAAAGTGAAGTGACTGATGGTGGAAAAAACGTCAAAGTGGAAATTCCTCCAACAAGAGCAGATATCCTTTGAAACCTTCATAAGTTTTACTCCAGCAACCTTTTCTGAAAAGAAGTAACATGGTACTCATCAATATCTCCAACAGCAATTTACTCTCAAAGGGATATTTGTATACATTTTTAAGTAGTCTTCATAGCATTCCTGAATAATTCTTAGTATAAAACATAGTCTCACCAAGGACCTTACTGGACTATTGTGGAGTGAAAATAGCTAAATTGAACATAAATTGTAAGTCATGTTTTTTTTTTTAGCAGAAAAGCAATTTTAAACCGCCCAGTTTAAACTTTGTAGTGTAGTGGTTATGTTTATTTTGAAGATCTTTCCTTGACATTTTACAAACATTATTCATGAGTGTGATATTATTGAGGATGTAGCCATTTCTCATGGATTTAACAACATTGTGAAGAGGATACCTCCAACCAATACTATTGGAAATCAGGTGAGTTCTCATTCATCATTATGGTAATAGTTTGCCCTCCAGACCTCAATTTTGTTTGTTTGTTTGTTTGTTTGTTTGTTTTTTTCATATGATTATTAAAGTATATTGTCTACCTGGAACTTCTTGTTTGTTTTTTCCTTTTTTATATTGTCAATTTTCCAGCAAATGCCAACTCTACCTGGTCCGACTTGCCCCTTACGTAACAGTTAATGATGAGCAAGTGTATAAAGAGCCATTGCTTTGTTTCTTTGCTCTTTCTATTGCTGCTAGTTTGCTAGGAAACCATATTATCCCAACTGAGGTAAGTTTGAGGGAAAACTATCGTTAATCAAAGCTTTCTTTTGCAGTTCAAGCTAAATACACTTTGTGATCTGCTGAGACAAGAAATAGCCCAGGCTGGATTCACTGAAGTCCTTACTTTCGCTTTGGTGAGAAATTTATACATGCAACACTTAAAGATCTTTAGGATTATCTGGGTTTTGTTATTGGAATCGATCAGTGTTAGGATTCAGTTTTTGCATGATTGAAAAATGAACAAGACCTCTGTTGGTAAAATGATTTCATTGGCAATTATCGCTTGTCGCCTCTGTGTTACCATGTAATATAACTGTAAATGTAAATCTTATTTATAGAGGTCATGCACGTAGCTATACAAACACTAATCTTAGCTACATGTAGTTTACAGGCATGCCACTGAAACAACGGAAAAAATATAACATAGTTAAAAATCCCAACTGGCAGGAGGCAGACCAGACCGGAACCTCTGGATTACAACACCAGCGCCACTCGGCCACGCTGCCTCCACCAAAGGAAGGGAAAAAATGATTATTTGGTCGTAGAGTGTAAAACACATGTTCTTTTATTTCCGATTGACGATAGAGTTTGGACAGTTTGTAAGTGTAATTAGATGTAGTGTAACTTTGCAAGTCGTTGTAGTGTTGTGTTTTGTCCCTACTGTTGCTGTCTGTTTCTTTAGATTCATTGGGGAGCTAGTTTTAATTCGTCCAAATGAGGTTTTGGAATTACATTTAAGCCCTCCTCTTTAGCGACCACTTTCCTCTAGCAATAGCATGTTCTAGCATGTTCTACAGCAGCCTTTTCAATTTGAATTAAGTGTTCATTGAAAGATTTCTTGGTTACTGGTGGGGGCAGATTCATCCTGGCACAAAAATCTGTCAATCCAGCCTGGCCAAGTTTCTGGGAAGCCAACACTGACCTCCTGTTGACTTCATGAGCACCTCCACCAACACCTCCAAGTTTCTTGCTAGTTTTCAAGTCAGTCTCATGACCACAAATTGAGCATTTGAGAAAAAGACATTCAGCAAGTCCTTCCCTCTGATAATCTCGCTGATAGAGTTTGAGACTTGATTGGGATTTGCGACAAGAGCTGCAAATTGCTGCTGAGGCAATACACTCACTCAACAGAGTGGCATCTTGCAATTTAAATCCGCTTGCAACTTGGTCAACATCTGCTGATGTAGCTCCGAGCCCAACGCTGATCGTCTTCTTTCGGGTCAGGATGCCTTCTCGCTCTTCATACCTCGAAAAGGAAGAATTCTGAAGTTTTGAGGCAGAAACATTGGCTCTCACCGGCAAATCTTCGGCTTCACTGAGGTCACTCTCGCCTCCGGCTTTGACTTCACCTTCCACGGCGCCATCTTGATCTGCTTCCTTTGTCAGCTTTGGCCGTTTGTTTGCCCCATTATGGCCACAAAAACCTTTTCTTTTTTTTCTCCTAACCGATCTGAATTTCCTTTTTCCAGGTTCGACCATCTCATGAAGCACAAAAAGTAAAAATACTCGAGAAAACAATCTGACTTCACCACACCACGCTTTCGAGAAAATCACAACTTCGAATCTTTGACCACCGCGCTGCATTATGGTTACTGCAAGTGAAAATCTGGACTGGACTCTGTGAAATTTGGCTTCTAAGGATTGTGGAAACGACTTTTAGGGGACTTTTGACCTAACGCGGAACAGAAAGTCCCATGACAACCAAAATAAACAAAGTGTAAACAGACGGTTGCTATGCATAAATAATTGACCGCTTCTCAATTAATTAGCCGTTTTAGGCGGGATTTTCAAATTTTTCAAAAAATAAAAGCGGATTATAAAAATTGAATAGATAGGGGTCTTAGGGGGGCTCAAAGTAGTTTTTATGAAATGTTCGACTTTTTTCTCAAAATAAGGGTTAACTACCTCCTTAAGCCCTCCTCTTTANTTTTTTTTTTTTTTTTTTTTTCTTCACAAAGGGAGAAAGCCATTTAAAACAGTACCTGCCAATCATTCGAGACAAACCAGTTTATCCAGTTATTTTTGATGCCAATGGTGTTGTTCTCTCAATGCCTCCAATTATCAATGGTAAGTCTATCATTACACATTTTGACATTGCATCAAAAATTGAATGTTAGAGTGCTATGCCTATAAATTTGCAGAGCAAACTGCTATTACATGTAGCACAGTGGAAATGCTCCTTACAGACTCGGCTATAATACAGACAACTCTATATTACAGTCAGTTCACTCTTCCATAATATTGATACTGAACTCTTCCCCTTAAGTGTCAGTATTAAAGAGGCTCAACTGAACTATGGGCTGAATATAAATATGTGAAATCTAGTCAATGGTTTAAACCAATAATGTTGAATTGTAGTTCATCTTATGTGATTCTTAAAGTCAAGATAGTCCTGAAAAGACTGTTTCTGAGGACTGATATTCTTACTGTACCATCCTAGTTGGACATAATACTTGGTGTCTTTGAAAATATCAACTTTATAAATATTAACTCACAATCTGTGAATTTGCTAACAGCCTCCTATTACTTATTGATGAAAGGCCCTTTATATAATATTGTTATTACACTATATCAGTAGCAAATTACAAAGATATCTCAAATTACGGTATATCCATATTCTGTATCATCTCTGAACTTTTGCTTGTAGGTGACCATTCCAAAATAACTCTAAGCACAAAAAATGTCTTCATAGAAAGCACAGCTACTGATTTGCACAAGGTAAGTAATAGCATACATGAATGAGTGTGTCCATGTTTACTGTAAGTTAGGAATAACTTTTAAAGCAATGATAAATTACTATATAAGTTATTTAAAGAGTTTGAGAATTGTACATTGTACATCATTCTATACTGTTTTTGTTTTATAGCATTCATTAGCTAAGTATTGTTTGTCTTTCTTGAAAGACTGCTAATCCATTGCTCTCTGTTTGAATCATTTGCATTAGTGAACAATGTACATCATGCATTGCATGCATCTTGTCCTAGTACAACACATCTGCAGTAATGGTTGTGTTCCATTTACTGTAGATTTTTTACTTTTAAAAATCTTAAATAGGCGATTTTTCTGTTTCCAGTTTGTATATATGACCAGTCAGAAGTATAAATGGATATACAGTACATGTACATCATATAAATTATGGTCTTGGGGAGTGGTACTATCCAGGAGAAAAAAAATCTCCTAATTTGATTTACTAATATACTTTTAATTATTATATTTTGTTAGGCCAAAATTGTCCTTGACACCCTGGTGACAATGTTCAGTGTTTATTGTGTTGAACCATTTGTGTAAGTAGTGATTGTCTTGAACAAGTGTTGAGTGTGAATTGATGATGTAACTTCAAGCCTAGAAAAGAAGTCAGTCATGTAAGGGGATCACACAACTAACACTTGAGAAGCAGGGAAGGCCCAGTGGTGAGAGTGCTCGCCTCCCACCAATGTGGCCTGGGTTCAATTCCAGCCTGGTGCTAGCCTGCAGAGCAGGCGAGATTTTTTCGAGCGAGCGCTCACATCGTAAAAAGTTTAGCCACCATCTTGAATTTTTCATGCAGCGGAAGACTGGGGAGAGAAAGAAAGTTTTACCAAGGGGGTGAATGATAGGCAAGAACATGGCGGTCTAAAAGGCAGTCGCAAGGTTGTAACGTTAACTCCCCCCAATAAGACGCCTGCACTGCAGGCTAGCCTGGTGCCATATGTGTGTTGAGTTTATGGTTGGTTCTAACCTTCCTCTAAAGGTTTTTCTCTGAGAACTCTAGTTTTCCTCCCTCCACAAAAACCAGCATCTCCAAATTCCAATTCGACCAGGATAGAGGATCCGCATGAAAACCAGCTAAGGATGATGTGGCTTCCTCTCTAAATGTTATTTATTTATCTACACATAACACCTAAACTTTTGTCTAGGGTGGAGTCAGTTGAAGTGGAACAGCCAGATGGTTCAGTTCTTGTTTATCCGGTATGTTACATACACATGTTGCATATTCAGTTAATCATGAATAATGAAATAAAGTTTACACAACATACATGGGTAGACAAATATTTCAAGGCCCATCTCAATAACCTCAAATTTATTGGGTTGAAACAATGCCTTGCTAAATCAAGGTGCACATGATATTACTACAATGTAACAGTAGATTTTCAGTTCTGAACCATTGTATACTAATGTAAAGCCTTTCACAGTGGCTTTATTGTGTATCATCTGCCTTCAACAAAGTCCAAAAATGTTACTTGGAATATCAGGGGACAGGACTTGGAACAGGACTTTCTTTGTACTTTGTGCATATACAAAACATGCAGTGGATATAATTGAGTGTAGCTGTGGTGTTTTTATTGGCCATACAGTTTCTATGAATTGTCTTTGTTTCTATTTTTTTTTCCCCCTTTTCTCAAAAGGAGCTAAAATATCGGCATGAAGTGGTCAGTGTGGAGCAAATTAACAAGAAGATTGGAATCCAGTAAGCAGTCCTGTTTCTTTCAGTAATTCAGGAAGTTGCTCAGCTGTGAGAATTTTGCATCCAGGTTGTACTGTATGTTAATGAATTCTTGTTCTTCAATGGCAGAGAATCTCCTGAGCGAGTGGCTGATTTGTTGACTCGAATGTGCCTTCAAAGTGAAGTGACTGATGGTGGAAAAAACGTCAAAGTGGAAATTCCTCCAACAAGAGCAGATATCCTTTGAAACCTTCATAAGTTTTACTCCAGCAACCTTTTCTGAAAAGAAGTAACATGGTACTCATCAATATCTCCAACAGCAATTTACTCTCAAAGGGATATTTGTATACATTTTTAAGTAGTCTTCATAGCATTCCTGAATAATTCTTAGTATAAAACATAGTCTCACCAAGGACCTTACTGGACTATTGTGGAGTGAAAATAGCTAAATTGAACATAAATTGTAAGTCATGTTTTTTTTTTTAGCAGAAAAGCAATTTTAAACCGCCCAGTTTAAACTTTGTAGTGTAGTGGTTATGTTTATTTTGAAGATCTTTCCTTGACATTTTACAAACATTATTCATGAGTGTGATATTATTGAGGATGTAGCCATTTCTCATGGATTTAACAACATTGTGAAGAGGATACCTCCAACCAATACTATTGGAAATCAGGTGAGTTCTCATTCATCATTATGGTAATAGTTTGCCCTCCAGACCTCAATTTTGTTTGTTTGTTTGTTTGTTTGTTTGTTTTTTTCATATGATTATTAAAGTATATTGTCTACCTGGAACTTCTTGTTTGTTTTTTCCTTTTTTATATTGTCAATTTTCCAGCAAATGCCAACTCTACCTGGTCCGACTTGCCCCTTACGTAACAGTTAATGATGAGCAAGTGTATAAAGAGCCATTGCTTTGTTTCTTTGCTCTTTCTATTGCTGCTAGTTTGCTAGGAAACCATATTATCCCAACTGAGGTAAGTTTGAGGGAAAACTATCGTTAATCAAAGCTTTCTTTTGCAGTTCAAGCTAAATACACTTTGTGATCTGCTGAGACAAGAAATAGCCCAGGCTGGATTCACTGAAGTCCTTACTTTCGCTTTGGTGAGAAATTTATACATGCAACACTTAAAGATCTTTAGGATTATCTGGGTTTTGTTATTGGAATCGATCAGTGTTAGGATTCAGTTTTTGCATGATTGAAAAATGAACAAGACCTCTGTTGGTAAAATGATTTCATTGGCAATTATCGCTTGTCGCCTCTGTGTTACCATGTAATATAACTGTAAATGTAAATCTTATTTATAGAGGTCATGCACGTAGCTATACAAACACTAATCTTAGCTACATGTAGTTTACAGGCATGCCACTGAAACAACGGAAAAAATATAACATAGTTAAAAATCCCAACTGGCAGGAGGCAGACCAGACCGGAACCTCTGGATTACAACACCAGCGCCACTCGGCCACGCTGCCTCCACCAAAGGAAGGGAAAAAATGATTATTTGGTCGTAGAGTGTAAAACACATGTTCTTTTATTTCCGATTGACGATAGAGTTTGGACAGTTTGTAAGTGTAATTAGATGTAGTGTAACTTTGCAAGTCGTTGTAGTGTTGTGTTTTGTCCCTACTGTTGCTGTCTGTTTCTTTAGATTCATTGGGGAGCTAGTTTTAATTCGTCCAAATGAGGTTTTGGAATTACATTTAAGCCCTCCTCTTTAGCGACCACTTTCCTCTAGCAATAGCATGTTCTAGCATGTTCTACAGCAGCCTTTTCAATTTGAATTAAGTGTTCATTGAAAGATTTCTTGGTTACTGGTGGGGGCAGATTCATCCTGGCACAAAAATCTGTCAATCCAGCCTGGCCAAGTTTCTGGGAAGCCAACACTGACCTCCTGTTGACTTCATGAGCACCTCCACCAACACCTCCAAGTTTCTTGCTAGTTTTCAAGTCAGTCTCATGACCACAAATTGAGCATTTGAGAAAAAGACATTCAGCAAGTCCTTCCCTCTGATAATCTCGCTGATAGAGTTTGAGACTTGATTGGGATTTGCGACAAGAGCTGCAAATTGCTGCTGAGGCAATACACTCACTCAACAGAGTGGCATCTTGCAATTTAAATCCGCTTGCAACTTGGTCAACATCTGCTGATGTAGCTCCGAGCCCAACGCTGATCGTCTTCTTTCGGGTCAGGATGCCTTCTCGCTCTTCATACCTCGAAAAGGAAGAATTCTGAAGTTTTGAGGCAGAAACATTGGCTCTCACCGGCAAATCTTCGGCTTCACTGAGGTCACTCTCGCCTCCGGCTTTGACTTCACCTTCCACGGCGCCATCTTGATCTGCTTCCTTTGTCAGCTTTGGCCGTTTGTTTGCCCCATTATGGCCACAAAAACCTTTTCTTTTTTTTCTCCTAACCGATCTGAATTTCCTTTTTCCAGGTTCGACCATCTCATGAAGCACAAAAAGTAAAAATACTCGAGAAAACAATCTGACTTCACCACACCACGCTTTCGAGAAAATCACAACTTCGAATCTTTGACCACCGCGCTGCATTATGGTTACTGCAAGTGAAAATCTGGACTGGACTCTGTGAAATTTGGCTTCTAAGGATTGTGGAAACGACTTTTAGGGGACTTTTGACCTAACGCGGAACAGAAAGTCCCATGACAACCAAAATAAACAAAGTGTAAACAGACGGTTGCTATGCATAAATAATTGACCGCTTCTCAATTAATTAGCCGTTTTAGGCGGGATTTTCAAATTTTTCAAAAAATAAAAGCGGATTATAAAAATTGAATAGATAGGGGTCTTAGGGGGGCTCAAAGTAGTTTTTATGAAATGTTCGACTTTTTTCTCAAAATAAGGGTTAACTACCTCCTTAAGCCCTCCTCTTTAGCGACCACTTTCCTCTAGCAATACACAAAATGTATCTGCAGATTAGAATAATGTCTTTGTTATGTACATAAAACCTGCGATATACAGAGGTAACCGCTATTGAAATAGAGTTCGTAAAGTTGTGGTTTGTAGCCGATCAAATTTTAGATACAGTCATGTTCATGTTTTCCACAGTGTTCACGGGATGATGTGTCAGAGAAACTCAAGAAGCCGCTATCGTCATCCAAAGCTGTACACATAGCAAATCCAAAAACACTGGAATTCCAAGTAAGGCACCCTTGTTACATGTATAACTTAGACATTAAATGTCTTCGAAAGCAAGTGAAGCCTCCATCGTTTCTCAGCACGGACATAATGTATCTAATATCGTTGCGTAGCCGCACATAGCTGATAGGCATGTGTTATAAGAATAAGAAAACTGATCGCGTTTGAAGCAATGCCTAGTCATCCAACCTTTGATAAAGGGAATGTAGAAAGATTATTAAGGAAAAGAGTTTTGTGTAAGGGTTAAGTGCTATCTATTGTTGCTTAAAATATACAGTGCTGTTGCTAGGAAATCCTTTTTCACATCTTCTGTTGTGGGTCGAGAGTCCAGAACCTCTCGGCTGAAGGGTGTGGGTGAACCCCCGGTTTCGTTAGCACTGTTGCTAAGTAACCTGACGTTTCTTGATAACAAGTTCATATACATGTGGTAATTATTGGCGTGTGTGGAATATTTCTTATCAAGTTATGAGAGTAGGAGGCCCTTTGTAACATGAAGGATTATTAGCCAATTACGTCTCTTTTCTTGACTATTTTGACTATTCAGTGAAAGCATGGTTAATATGAAGAAAGCAATGTCAGTAACCATAGTGATGCTGTGTTGTAGGTTGCCAGGACAACACTCATTCCCGGTCTTCTGAAGACTGTTAGTTGTAACAAAAAGATGCCGCTTCCAATGAAACTGTTTGAAATCTCCGATGTGGTACACAGTGATGACAAGAAAGGTAAAGTTTGAATTCACAGACTATGAAACGTAACTGTAGCTAGTAATTTGCGTCCTCTTACGTGATCCTCGAAAGAGACTAGTCCTTTCACTTGAACGCAGAAAACTTAACCTGTTTTTTACTTGTAAGTACCGGATCCGGTATCGTTTTCTCAGTGTGGATGACTGTAACCTGCATTGTGTGTATCAATCGGTCGTACATAAATACCCTGAAGCCTGCAGTCTACGCCGCCAGTCATTATATCGACTGATTTTAGAGTGACGTCCGGCTGCAGACTCGCACCCAGTCGATATTTTTGTGTTTTTGGGAAGAGAAAATTGGTTACCAGGCTGAATTAAGGCGCGAGGGGTGTCATTAGAAGGGTCAAAGGAAAGATAGCGTCGTTATTTTTTCCCACCTTTTCCCATAACATGACCCGGATACGAGTCTTTTCCGGCTGCACCACAGCCGACGCCTCTTCAGCTTTTCAATTCAAATTCAAGTTGCCATAACACAACCAATGTTTCCTTCAGATGTCGGAGCTCGGAATCATCGCCGTTTCTGTGCCGTGAATTACAACAAGACTCCGGGATTTGAGGTGAGTGAAAAAAGCGTTTAGACTAGTATTACTGTCACCGCTGACAATTATTACACATGGACTCAAGAATAAATAGTGCCCTGCGTTTCATCCAACAAACTCGCGTCAAAGGACGTCCTGTGTTGAAATCTTGCTTTGGTTTTACTCGTGCAGATCTCGTGGTAAAAAATAAAATCGTAAATTAGTAAGCACCAAATCTGATAACATGACTAAGCTTACGCCCTGTGCTTGGCGGCGGTTGAATTCTTTCGTTCCCAGTTCTGATTGGTTCACTGGACTTGGTGTCTTTTAGTGGTTACTTTTTTTCTGGTTTTATCGCAATCTCTGCAAAATCGTTCCTCTAAGAAAAAAAAAGGTTGCTTGCGGTTCTACAGATAGAGCGCTTGTTACTGTAGCAAGCGCATAGCGGGAGTTGCGTCTCGAGGGACTGCGCGTTTGGTAATCTTCTTGGAGGCAGATCGATATAAAAACCAAGACTTAGCTTCACTGTACCAATGTTTACTCCAGTTGGTAGTATTACTTCTGTTCTTTATAGATTTGAGATTCTTAAGCAGCGTGTGTTTGGTTTAGTTTCTCACTTTCCAAGCCCATCTCCAAACAATGTTGTTTTGCTTGTTTCAGGTCATTCATGGTTTGTTGGACCGCACCATGCAGCTTCTTGAAGTACCGTACTCGGAAGATAAGACATCTGTACACGGATATTACTTGAAGGCGCACGAAGGTATCCCTTACTGCTCCTTTCACAGTTTGAAAGATTTCTTGCAAAGTATTTGGCTTGCAATCTTCCCCAGAAATGTTGTCTCTTGTATTTTCAGACATTTCGTTCTTTTCTGTACCCCCCTACAGAAACTCTCTCTATATATACATCGGCGTAATGTATGGACTTCACTTATTATATCTTATTGTGTATTTATTCGTTCGCTCATTCATTCGCTAACTCGCTCGCTCAGTCACGCACTCACTCACTCGCTCACTTATTTCTATTTCAGATGAAACTTTCTTCCCTGGTCGTTGTGCGCAAATTATCGCCAACGGAAAGCCGATAGGAATCATGGGAGTCCTACATCCTGAAGTCGTCAACAACTTTGAATTGAATCTGCCATGCGCAGTGCTTGAACTGGACATAGAGGAATTCCTCTGAAAAAAAAACTGCTGAAATGTTGACAGAATTTTCCTAATAAGAGGCTTATTATGGCCGCAATTGCAAATGAATTTAGGTCATACCACAATAGTAGTTTTAGAGAGAATTACACGAAAGGCACTCGAAGGCAATGCACGAGAAATATCAAATATGTTGAAGTATTCAAATATGTACCACACTGGTATTTGTGTGCCTAATGTCAGGTTTTCGTCAGTGATACTATTACTTGAAGCCTAGTCAGTCCCATTTGATCACTGGTGGTCGCGAGGAAATTCGAAAATTGGACCCAAACTTAGAATATGCATGGGACCTTCATATGAGCATGATGCGGGTTTTAAATCGATGTCGTTCCCAGAGGTGGTGTACTCGCTCTTGTCCAGTGGAGGCGTAGGTCCTGGAAACGAGATACGCCTGTAACGGGATGATCTGGAGCATGCGCGCTAAGTTTGGAAACTCGTATTTATTCTCGTCTGAAGGCACTGGTAGTTTGGCTCCTGTCCCTTTTGTATGCCTTTTTAAGCCAAGGGGAAATGAGTGAGATTCGGTGCGTGTAGGGGTAGGATCATACGATCAACTTAAATCCGCGCCGCAGCGATCACTTTGTTGTTGTTGTTGTTGTTGTTGTTGTTGTTGTTGTTGTTGTTGATGTTGTTGCTGGTATTGTTGCGCTTAGATATTACAGGCATGCCACTTAAACTGAAAGAAACAAATCTATCAACTAAATATGATAGGCTTAAAAATCCCAACTGGCGGGAAGCAGACCAGTTGGCTAGCTATGTACAAGAATGACTTAGGAGTTGAACTGGGGTCTACCGAGAAACAACCTTAGCGGAAAGAGGCGAGACTTCAACCCGCGATCTCCGGATTTCAAGTCCGGCGCTATGACCACTCGACCACGCGGCCCTTCTGATTGAAGAAAAAATGGCCTTGCAACATGATTTAGCCTTTGCCCTACATACGAATTTTTAAATACGTGAATAAAGTTTTAACACTCAAGAGTAGAGATCATTTTACCTAGCCTCGCGCAAAATAGCTGTTTAATTCCCCCACCCCAAACCCCAAACGACATCCACGTAGCTAAAATATTTGTTCTTAGTCATAAATCTACTAAAACATTCAAAACTGTTCTTTGGGGATGTTTATGCTGACAAAATGGTTGCTTTTGGAGAGCGTTGTTCCGAGCTCAGTCTCGGATGTCATACAAAGGTGACGTCTCTAGTTCCAAAGTGAAGTCCACTGATATTCATGGACAAAACGTGTTTGTATAGTTTCAGGGGGCCATGTTAGAATCATGTTAGTTGACGGTGTGTGCCGAGTGTAATTTTTTGTTTAGTGTCTCTCGTTTATAAGGTCCATATGTAAACTTTTTTATGTTCATGGAAGCAATCTATGCAAGCCATTCAAATTCTTCGTGGACCTGCGATATACATGCTGATCCAAAGAGATTTGGTTCGGCCATTTCCACGTTTCTCGTTCCCGTTTGATGTGGGCGTGAAATGTAAACCGAGTTCGTATTGGCTTTACCGACAAGAGATTTGTTGCGACTGCAAGGTGCCGTCAGACGATAGAGATCCGTGTTAAGTTCTTCCTGTCGTTGACATTCATTAAATTGCGGTTGCATGTATCCGTTTCATTGCATGACAGGTTTTACCTTTACACTCTTTTCACCGCATAGCTTGTACTCTAACACCGAAAAATACATTCTTGTTCTCCTTAATAAACACGAGAGAACAGTGGCCGCAGTCATGTAACCTGTTTGCAATTCTCAGTGACATAAGGGGGTATTTTTTATGGTGCAAAAGCAAGCATTGATGTGTATAACTCGTCAGAGTCGATATTTTTCAGTGATTCTTTTCCTTTATTCGTTTAGTAACGTACAAAGAATGTGTTTACTTTTCTAAGTGAAAAAATCACATTAAATCTGCCATGATTAACTCTCGTCCAAAGCGGTAACAAAAGATGTCATGACAAATAGAGAACAATTAACCCTATGAAAAGGAGACAAAGGAAGGATAGTTGAATGAATACTTGGTATTGGTATACCCATGACAGTTTAGGCAAGAGAGTTTAGGCGCAGCTCAAGCTTCTGGTCATAGAGGGAATGGGATGACTGCGGTATCTGTGTTGTGTTATCACCACACGCAACCTTGACAAGTGACAGCTACATGAGAAGATAACGTCAAACACGCAACACTTGAAATCGATAGGAAACGATCTGTTTATTTGCTCATGCAATGTTACAGAAATTCGTGCTGATAAGAGTGGACGTTTAAATAGGCGATAAAAGAAGTTTTCAAGAGAGAAATTCATACCTAAAAATGTTCTTGTTTTTATGGGAGTATACATTGCTAGGTTTGCGATAGATTGGTATCCCATCTAGGAGGGAGTAGACATGTTCCTAGTTGGGACTCCAAGTCGCTTCATGCTACGGAACACGGAAATAAAGTCAGGCGGAATGGACCACTTGGGACCACTTGGCCTAATGCAGACTTTATCTTTCACCTTTTACATTCCCACGCATACAATCCTAACAAACGCTCATTTATCCTTTTATTATAGCTTTTCGCGGTAAATAGCGAAGAGTATGTTTTTTGTGTGTTACATCTGTCGCGTTGCGCTGTGCAGTAGATACAAGCGTCTCCACCAATCGCAGTGCGTTCTTAGGTGTCGCGATGGGTAAACCTCTCAACGCAATTATCCAACTTCCGCCAACTAACCATCTACGCGACCTCGGGCTCGCTATTTTCTTTGCACTTACAAGGTTGGAGATAAGGCTATCGAGATAATTAAGCTGGTATCTGTTTGCTGCAAAGATCCAAGTATACAGTTTCCTCAGTACCCTCTGCCGAGTGGCAACTCGGGGAACAAACTCTTCTCCAACGTGATGTGGCCTCGATATTCCCATACGTTACCATGCGTGTTTGGTTTCCTGGTCCTGCTCCAGTTTATTGTCAGCCGATCTTTACAGGTGAGGGTTTTTTACTTCAGTTAGGAATGAGCGTGAAATTTTCGTTGATGCGGCAACAATGAAAAAGAACTTGATCCAGCCTGTGGGTACGCGAAGCCTACTTTTGAATTTCGCAGCGTGATTCCCAAAATAATGTAGTGCACGCATCTCCAGAGAATTATTTTACCTTTTGCACTGTTTCGGCTTACAATACAAAGCACGCCTCTGGGTTTAGCAAGACTGATATATTCCTCTACTTGAACAGACCGAAATCTGAAATTGTATCCCTGGGGCCTGGCACCCGGAGGACATCACGCATATACGGTGTATTCTAAAAACCCTGTTTGAAGATTAGTCGCAGAACATTTTATTGAAGATGGAAATTTGCTATGCACAGTGCTTATCTGCGTGCTTACAATTCTATTCATGAAAAGTAAATAAATAAACATTTTGAAATATTTCAATCGAATCGGATGTATTGCAAACAAAGACTCATCGACAAGAAAAGGTAATGAAACTGAAGGCATTTAGTTACTTTTTCATTGATTTTGGACCAAATTTTCTTCAGAGGGTTTACTTTGAAAATTATTCAAGATATTATTTAAACCGTCAACCTGTAACTGCCTTGTTTTCATAGGCCTCAGATCAAATACATTCCTTTGATGATTTATTTACTGAGCCTTTGAATCGCGGGAGAAACCGATATGGCACCCAAAGGAGGTCTTATCAAAACTATGTCAATGATAAAATCATCCGAATAATATAGACGCTGTGAACGATAAAGCTTTTGATTTTCAAACCAATCTTGCCCTTTCTTTCACGGCCTGCTTAAAAAACACAGCTCTTACTAGGCCAGGCATCGGATTAGACAGAATTTTATAGAGATTTTCGTCTTGGCTAACAAGGTTTGTAAACATTCTCCGCATTTTTAAATGTCTCAATTTTTTCCTTATCTAGTTCCCAGATAGCTTATCGGTTGACAAGCGGAATTCGCCCGGGGAAAGCAAAGGAATTTATGACAGAGGTATTCATTATGAGTCAGCTATCCGAGATGAGAATCCTCCGGCAAGCAATAGACCACCAGGTTTGTGGCGTGTTGTATGTTGACAGGATTAATCTCGAGAGTTATAAATGTGTTATGTTACACTTTTAACTTCACAACATTGATAAACTCCAGAAACTCCAGAAGCCTTTTGATATTCCTTTAAAATGTCCTGTGAGATCATACCTCATTTGAAACTTAAATTAAAACTTGATCGATTTTTAAAGAGTGATAACGATGCGACCTTCCCTCGCTTTTATATGCGGAACAGATTTACGAAGCGACGAGGGATTGTTGACCTCAGCATGTTCTCATTGCGACCAACGCGGCAAATCGTAGCGGGAGATTAACATCATTAGCTATTGTTCAGGAAGAGATTCCCCCTTTTAGAGATTCCCCGTTTTAGAGATTCCTCCTTTTAGAGATTCCCCCTTTTAGGGATTTCCCGTTTTAGAAATTCCCCGTTTTAGAGATTCCCGTTTTAAAGATTCCCCCTTTTAGAGATTCCCGTTTTAAAGATTCCCCCTTTTAGAGATTCCCCTTTTTAGGGATTCCACGTTCCCCGTTCTCCGTTCCCCCTTCTATGTTTTCCGATTTCCCGATTTCCCGATTTCCCGATTCCCCGTTGCCGAGTTAGAGAGTATCTTTGGAAAAACACAATCAAATTTGTCAGCTTTTCTTGCACACGTGTAGCAATGCTGCGGAAAAATTTGGCACGAACATCCTCGTCCAGATCTGTTAGGTCACCCCCCGGGCCTGCCCTTTTCGCTCGCCCCAAACAAAAATCGTATGAATATTCAGGAGAGTGGGAATAGAAATGAACGAAAACGTTAAGTAGCAAGTAAACGAAACGTCTGAACCGATTATATTGTTGTCATTGTTAAATTGGTCAGAGCATGTTCCATAAAAATCAAACTAATGCAGCTGTAGCTATGGATAGCAGAAAATGACACACTTTGTCTGTGCTGTCTACAAAAAAGACGCGTATTTTCCAACAGGTAACTTTGAGACAAGCAAGCAAACACAGGCAAAAAAACAAAGGGGGTAAAGTTTTGCAACTTATTTGTAAACCTATCGAGTTATGAACTGAAATCACTTGAAATTTCTGGCGAAACCCAAGACATACCCCTACCAAAAACTTTGTGAAGTATGCCCACCCCGAATTACCGTCCAAAAAAGCGGCAAGAGTGGAAAATCTAACTTGTATTCCCTTTCCTTAATCCATCAATTAGTTTCTTTTCATAGAGGTTTCTCTACTTTGACAGGATGTTGCACGCCCGAATTGCACCTTGGATTTGACAATGCAACCGCTGACTTAGTACACGACAAACATGACGTACGCCGTGCCCAGTCCCGTATAGCCGACATTGCCGACGCGCCGTGCAGCAACTTTGCAAACGTGAACGTTGAAGTCGTGCAATTTAAGAGTGCAAAATATGCAAAGGTAACCGATGCAATCACCATTTCCGTTTGGGTTAACTTGCAAACCACCTCTGGCATTCAACCGATTCTTCTCATAAAAGGGCAAACTGGTGAACTTCGATTTGAGATTGCTCAAGGTCATGTGACGTGGTTATACTTTGAAACGAGTCCGCCACGAGCGACTTTTGCACTGTTAAGCCCAAACCCAGTTGTAGCACCCCATATGTGGACACATATTGTGGCGCAATATGACGCACGCAGAAACCGAGCCTCAGTGTTTATTAATGGAAAGGAAATATTGCAAGGCGAGTCCAATGGTGAACGTCTGGAGGTAGCGTGGAGTGAGTTTACTACTATTGGCAAATACTCAATCAACGAGGCGTTGGAGTTTAAACTCTCAGGATACATTGACGAGTTTTACATTTACTATTGTGCCCTTTCAGAGACTGTTATTCAAAAACTCCACCAGATGTGTCATATTGATAGTCAATGTGCTCCCATAAGACCAGGTAACTGTGCTTCTTATCCTGACCTACAGGCCTGAACATAATCAAACACTTCTAACCATGGTTGTATATGGGAAATACCTAAACGTGAAAGAGAGAGGGAGAAGCGATGGCACTGAATGTAGTAGTCAGTACCACTGCAAGGTGTTTTACTTTTATTCCGGGCTTTTTGTGTCTACTCGTTTCATTCGTCATGCACAGACTGATACCAGTTTCTGACTTCCTGAACCTGGAATAAACCCGTTGAATAGAATACAGTGGAACACCGCCTTACGACCACCCCGTTAATACGGCGACCTCGTTATTACGGCCACTTTATTCTGGCCCGAGCAAAAGCTGAGTCAGTCATATTCTTATTTAAAGAACCCTTAAATACGGCCACCCCGTTAATACGGCCAGATTTTTGTGGCCCGCTGGTTACCGTATTAACGAGGTTCCACTGTAGCTGAGTTGAACAGTTTCCTTAAAACAATTCTCACGAAGGAATGGGTCGGTTAAATGGCCCACAAGAAAAGCGAAGTTCGGCTGAAATGTATGTTTTGTGGTGCAAACATTGCACCCTTACAGACCGTCAAATTATGTCCTGCTTACCAAAAAGAGGATAAAAACCGTTGCTTAAGTACCGGTGTGTTGGCTGCTGACCTCCTCGATCTAAGAAAGGCCCCTAGGTAAAAATTGAGCATAGTGCAACCTTGCGTAATAGGTTTCTTCCTCTAATCATATTTAAAAGAAAATTTTTATTACCATCAGATGGCTTTTGTAGCCCAGACGAGCAACCCTATGCAGTTCAGGAACGCTGTGTGTCGTGCTACTGTATGGGACGCTCACAAAATTGCAGCAGTGCAAACTTGTACCGAGACAGGGTAGGTAAAATCCAATTTGTCAACTCCAATCTGAACCCTTCTGATCGAAATCGTGGTAAGAAACCTTTTACTCTGTTTTAACCCGATTTCTCCCGTTCGTCTAGACAGTCCTTATTCCCGCTTTGCTCTTCATCTTAATAGTCATTACGTCCTACTTAATTTGACTTATGCTTGTTATAACCAAAGGTCATAGAGATAAAAGACCTGAAAACTGTCTTTTGTGGCGTGCAGAGTCAGACGTTAGGGCAAAACGATAGATAACATTGTTCCTTAAGTGCGTAGTCATTCTCTTTATCCTTTATAAATGGCCAGTTCCAGTAAGGTTGGTCAAGTCGAAGTGGCGGCTTGGATTACAGTTAATAAATCCGCCGAGTGTGAACGTCACGTAACGAGATCTCAGTTTCCCTTCGTTCGTCCTAACTTAAAAAAATACTACGCCACTCAACTGTAGAGCTTCAAAGACAAAAAGACTATTTACAGTCTCACATTTACGTCGGGATCTGATGCATACTTCAAATAGCAACCATCTTGGTTTCCGATGACTAGAGCAATCGTGGGATAGGACCAATTCAGTTACGCGCAACGGATATTGCACTCGCCGTCTGGAACGAAGATGGTCAAGATGGCGGCCGTTGAAATATGCGTACGATCTCGACAAACGCAAGGAAAAATAGGGAACCATAAACACTCTACAAGAATTCCTGTGAAACAGGGGCAGCGTGTCTTCAAACGTTTTACCTATGAGTTATTCAAAGCAGTTTGCTTCCCTCATTTCTTGTGTCACAACTTCTTTTCTTTGTCTCGCTTATTGCAGCTTGAAATACAACTCAAAAATGAGAGCACCCGTCCCATTATGCATTTGGTTGATGTGAATGGATCTGATGTGCCCGGTATTACCTACACTGCTGACCACTTGAACAATGCGCTTGTGGCACATAACATGTCTAAAGGAAACCAGTATTACTGGACCCTGCCAAAGGAACTTTTAGGAAACAAGGTAAAGATTTGATTTCCATTTTTCACTCCGTGGCTTCAGAAAAGTATTTTTCGCTGAAATTTTCAATGGTTTGTTTAGACCAGCGCTGTAGTTTGTGTTGAGAAAAAGAATCAAGGTATTTTGGATAGTCATACAGTTGTGTCTCTTTTAAGGTTTTCTTTCCTGACACGTTTTAGGTAATGACTTTTAGGTAAAATGTCAACATGAATGTTTCAAATCGAACGCACATTTCAGGAGAAGTCATTTTTGGGGGGACCAACAGCAGTTTTATAAATCGGATAATTTAGATATGTTACCTCGAGCCAGTCAATGTAATGCCATTATGGCTTGCGTAACTACTGTAGGTGATATCTATTGACAAAATGGCTTGCTATTTTTTGTTATCAAAGCTATCAAGTTATGGTGGAAAGCTCCGCTACACTGTCAAGTACCACGGTGGTAACAGGATAACGGATCGTTCTGTAAAGAATCCATCCAGATACCTTAGAAGTTTACGTGAAATACTGAACAGCAGGGGTTTTGTAGCTAATTATAACATTGACAATGTCCGCGACGAAGAGACAGGTGACATTGATGCATCTGGAATTGATGATCCGTCCTTGGGCGATTCGGACGAAGTGACTTCTGCTCCCAATACGCCGTCTACAAATAGTCGTGTTGTAGAGCTGGCTGCCAGTTCCGCATCTGTTTCCACAGAAGTTAACAAGGAAATATTTGGATCTAAGGTAGAGTCTGAGCAAACTGCATTCCAGGTTAATAACTTTAAACATTCTAACAAAAGCCCTACAACTCCAATTCACACTGTGTTCTCCACTAGCAAAAAACCGGGGACACCACACCAGCCGACTGGTAAAGCAATTTTTACAACTGGAAAGATCGGTAGTATGACTACTGCAAGCCCCGACGAAGACATCGAACTAGTTATTGATCAAGATAAACACACTGGGAGAGTTCCGAGTACAGCTAGTGCCAAACCAGAACACCTAACAACTGCTGCAACGACAGCGACAGCAACGACAACGATACCAGTTGTGTTTTCCACAGCAAAGGATGCATTTACCAACGGCAAGGGTGATACAACAACTTTCCTGCTATCTCCAGGCTCGAGTGCTGACGGGCCTACTTCAGAGACAACATCAACGATACCAGATGCGTCCTTTACAGCGCCGGATGCATTCACTGACGGTCAAGATGAAGAAGCCAGATTTGTGTCTTCTTCAGCCTACAGTACTGATAGCCCTGAATCGGTAGCAATGACAACAATACCTGAGAGATCTTCCTTTATATGGGATGAATCTACTGATGGTCAAGATGAAACAAACATAGCCTACACTACGGACACCCTTATTTTGAAAACGGTACAGGTGCCAGATACGTTTCAGCCAACACCGAATACATTTACTGACGGCCAAGATGAGGCAACCACATTTCAGCCTACCTCAGCCTACAGTACAATACCAGTTGCATCAATGGATAGTCAAGATGAAACAACCACTTCTGAGCCCTCTTCTGCCTACAGCACTCAGAAGCCTATTTCAGACGCAGTAGCAACAATACCAGATACGAATTACGGGACCACCGATACCGATGGTCACTACGCCACAACCACTTTCGCGCCTTCTTCAGTTTACACTACTGAAAGGCCTCCAGAAACAGTAACAACAATACCAGATTTGTTGTACACTACAAGAGGTACAGCGGCTAATGCTCAGGATAAAACGCCCTTTGCTGAGCCTTCTTCAGCCCACGGCACTGACAAGCCTACTTCTGATCCAGTATCAACAATACCAGACACTTTCCCCGCAACAACGGATTCAGCAACCGATGGTGAAGATGAAACAACGATTACTCAGCCGTCTTCAGCACAACCCACTAATAGAACTGCTTCAGACGCAGTAACAACAATACCGGTCACATACTACACGACAACGGATACATCGACCGATGGTGAAGATGCGGCAGCCACTTTTGTGCCCTCTTCAGTCTTCAGCACTGACCTCCCTACTTCGGACACGGAGACAACAGTGCCAGACAAAGTTTTTACAACAACAGACACATCGATCATCGTTGGCCGAGATGAAACAACCACTACTGAGCTTCTTTCGGCCTACCGCACTGAAACATCAACCTTTCCAACAAGGACAACAATACCAGATACATTGCATTCAACAACGGATGCATTCATTGACAATCAAGTTGAAACAACCCCTACTGAGTATCCTTCAGTCTACAGTAGTGAAAAGCTAACATCGGAAACGGTGACAACAATACTAGATACGTTTCACACGACGATGGAAGCATCAACCAATGATGAAGATGAAAAGACCACGTTTTCGCCATCTCCAGCCTACAGTACTGAGAGGCCTACTTCGGAGTTAGTGACATCGGTACCAGCTACATCTTTTCCTGTGAGTTCTTCAACTGATGGTCGAGATAAAATGTCAACTAGTGAGTCTCGATCAGTCTACAGCACGGACAAGCCAACTATTCCAACAGGAACAACAATACCAGATATGCCTCGCACAACGAAGGACGCATTCACTGACGGGCAAGAAGAAACAACCACTGCTGATCATTCTTCAGTCTACAGCAGCGAAAAGCTTACTTCGGAAACATTGACAGCAATACCTGAAACGTTTCACACGACAACGGAAGCATCGACCGATGATCAAGACGAGAAAACCACCTTTGCGCCATCTTCAGCCCACAGTACTGAAGGGGCTACTTCGGAGAAAGTGACATCGGTGTCAGCCTCATCTTCTCCTGTGAGTTCGTCGACTGATGGTCGAGATGACACACCTACTACTGGGCCTCTGCTAGCGTACAGCACACAAACACCAACTTTTCCACCATGGACAACAATACCAGGAACGTTTTACACAACAAAAGACGCATTCACTGACGTACAAGATGAAACAACCACTGCTGAGCCCTCTTCAGCCTACAGTACTTACGTACCATTATCTAGAACAGCGACAACAATACCAAGCACACACACAAAAACAGACGCATCGACCGATGATCAAGATGATATAACCGCTACAGAGCCTCCGTCAGCCTACAGCACTGACAAGCCTGCTTCAGGAGCAGTAACAACAAAATCAGCTACGTTGTACACAACAAAGGATGCATCGACCGATGATCAAGATGATACAACCGCTACAGAGCCTCCTTCAGCCTACAGCACTGACAAGCCTGCTTCAGGAGAAGTAACAACAAAATCAGAAGCGTTGTACACAACAAAGGATACATCGACCAATGATCAAGATGATATAACCGCTACAGAGCCTCCTTCAGCCTACAGCACTGACAAGCCTGCTTTAGGAGCAGTAACAACAAAATCAGATGCGTTGTACACAACAAAGGATTCATCGACCGATGGTGATGATGAAATAACTACTACAGAGCCTCCGTCAGCCTACAGCACTGACAAGCCTGCTTTAGGAGCAGTAACAACAAAATCAGCTACGTTGTACACAACAAAGGAT